ATTCAATATTCAACGCGGAGAAATACCTGACGATGGGAAAGGCGGGAACAATGAGTTGAATTAATTGGAGTTGATCGGGTGGCATGGCTCAGCCATGCGGGCGTGGTCCCTGAGGATTGTGACCTTACCTCTTTTATTCATATTAAATATATTGTTCTTTCTCTAGCCTAAGCTAGTTGATCAGTTTGACCGGCTGTATCATAGACAAGATTGGTTGCTATCTCATGATAATTTTCAGTCGTCTTCACCTTGAAAACTCTAACACTGTGGTCACTTTCACCCGAGGACACTTTTATATGAACATTTTCAAAACTATTCCGTGTAATCTGTTTGCTAGTTGTTGTGTGCCATTAACTATGTGATCGAGTATTTCTCTGTTCTTCATGGCAGCAGATGACTATTTGCCAGATAACTTAGCTGTTGGATCATATTTCTGAAATCGGAGATTTATGGGTGGAGCGTTCTGGACCCTAGTAATCAGCCTCCAGGTATAATTATGTTAGTATCACCTGGAATGTAATCACTCATAGGGTGAGATGTGTTTTGCCAGGCACGCATTTGGCACCATTCGTCACACAGTAGCACCAGTAATAATAATAATAATAATTTATTCTCAGTTTGTTACATGAGGCATGCCAGTTTACAGGCAAGATCAAATTGATACAAATGATACAGTATCCACTGTAGTAAATTACATAGCTGGGTTGATAATTTATAAGATATGAATGTAGATGGTTTTAATCAGTACTACAGTTGGCGCGCTTCACGGAAGTTGCGTTGCGAATGTGCAACTGATGGTCAAGGATAGGTCCATTGAAGGTGAGAGCTTCTAAATGTCGCAACCTTATGTCCCTTTGGAATGTCTAAGGCTTTGAGGATGGTGCAGGATAAAATCTTTCGTTCCATATCACAAGGGGGCTGAAAGAGGGAGCAAGTAAAAGAACACACGAGGGGCAGAGTAGCCAATATTCATGAAGGAATGTTTAAGGTATGATTACTCAGTCTAATTCCACAGGTAAGCTTTAAGAGAGGATTGTGGTTTTTGACGTTTTAACGTTTGACGTCTTCACATTCTATGAGTCTCCAATTTCGCTTATTAAGTAATATCTTAAAACATCGTCACCAACGGTATCATGTTAAGAATATGACATTGTTACAAGTTTTGTTTTAAGATCATCAAGCTGATTGTGGGGCTGATTTTATCCTTCCTTTAGCCCCTGCGTCGCTACTTAGGCATTTAATTGTTTCATCACAGAGTTCCAGTGTTGTGAGTTTTGGATGTGGAATCATGGATAGGGGATGGCAAGGCCTTTCGCAACGTTTTGAAGAACCTGAGTCATCGACACTTTGAAGAGGGTTGGAAGATTAACTCCTCTACTCACATCTGCATGAAATCATCCCCCGTGACTGGAGTTACCACTGCAACCAAGAGTGCTGCGTATGTAGAAATCTGTGTCCGTGTTGGTCAAACCGAAAAATGAAATCGGTCCATGTAATCAATGAATCTTGATCCAGGCTACTTGACCAGAGCCCATGCAATAACTACGATCAGCAGTTGGAAACGTTAAATGACAGGATTGAGAATCGATCTTCAAGGTCCAGATACCTTCAGTGACGCAGATAATGTACAGACGGCGAACAAGCAGTCATTTTTCAATTGTAATGCTTTTCCCGTCTGTATGTGAATATGAACTAGTTAATTTGACAACGCAAACATGTTAGTCAACATGAGTGAATAAGTGTCGGGAAACTTAACTTCAATGATAACAAACGCAGGTCATTAGTCTTAATTGTTTAACTATGTTAACATTCACCTTCCTGTAGACTTTGAACTCCAACATACCTTTATATGAGTACTTTCGTCCTTTCTTTTAGACCCACATTTGAGGTCCCGAGTCTTTCTCGTTTCCATTTCTGCCACACTATTTTGCTTTACACACTGTCCATTTTGTCAATCTCATTTTATGGTATTAGTGGGATATAGTGACATGGACGAATGCACGTTTGTGCCGGAAGACAATATAATCGGCACTTACTGGAGGTCAAATCAAGAATAAGAATGTAATTAAACAAGGTACATTTATCTGACATAAAGCCGTACACTCCTACAGCAGGTACAATACAACTAACTAACCAACAAGGTTGGTCAACATTTATTCTCTACTGTTAAAAATAACTAGATGATTAATTCGATAAAATATTCCCTCTAATTTTCGCCGCTATCGCGTTTCAAAAGGACATCAAACAATGAGCTTGACACCAGCAGCGTTACCAGGATGGACAAGTCAAAGAAATTTAAGTCAAAAACAAAAGTTTCATTAACCGAGGACAAGCAGTTCAGAGTATATGAAGGACCTTTATTAGAATGATAACATTATAGCCATTAGCTACGATTATTTACTGCATTGCATTTCTCATTTTCCCAGTAGAAATGGTGAAGTGGTTGTGTACACTAATGAGATGAACTTTCATTCCAGCTGCTACTGGTACAGTGTAATAAACGTTACAACCAAAACCTTGAAATCTCTTCCTTGTCTCTTTATTCAAAAGGAGTATAGAAATTTTGGTCCTAGCAGGGCTTCACGTAACAGAAAAGTGGTAATTTCAATAATGCGAAAGCTCTTTGGTAATTCCGTTAGATAAGGCGAATGTAACGACCGAATTGCCAGTATTCGGTTTGAACACAGGACTGACGAACCAAAATTTATTCGATTAGACCAGACTATTTTCCTCTATATAGCGTACAACGCGTTTTTGAGATATATTTATATATATTATATTATATTATATCAAAACACAAACTCCGTGCTCAATTTAAACGGTTCTGATTTAGAAAATAGAACAAATTGTATCAAAAATACAAAATACCTCAAACGGTACAGCCTGCGCTATACAGTCAGAAGTTTCTCTAACGCAAAGTAGCGCGCTAAACAATGAAAGAGACAGTTAATACTAAAAGGTTTGGTACCTGAGAATCAGTACAAATATTCCCGACAAGATGGGATCAAATATCTATCTGCAGGGATTCCAGAAGTCCTCCCAGGCAGACAGTCAAAAGGTTAACAATCGCACACTGAATCACGCCGTGACCTTGAGCTTAGTCAAACAGGACCTTACCGTCAATAGTCCAGCAACATGCAACAGAAAATCAGGTAACAGAAGATAAGTCTTTGATCAAAATCACGTAATAAATGCTCAAACTAGGAAGACTGAAGAATAAAAGGTGTGGTTAAACGAGATCTGAACAAAGGTCAAAATACACGATAGGGAGAAGAAACAAATAAATGACAGTTCTGTCTAACAAAAAACTGCATAGAATTGTCATCATTCTCCTTCCGTTACAGCGAACTTTCTATTTTGAGATGTGGAGAACATGGTAGATTACATTCACTGGCCATCATGACTTCACAAGACGTTATTTATTGCAGTAACCCCTGCTACTGTTGTGTATTGAGCGAGTGGTTTCGGTCAGGAGCACCAAATAGGAATTCCTGCGCAACGTATCTAATAATTCTTATAAATGCTTTCCTAGTTCCAGTTTTTTCCTCTTATCCCCTCATGCAGACTATAGCTTGTTATGTTCAACTCTAATACCCGAAGATTATATCATTATTCACTGGAACACTATAATGATTTCTTGTGCAATTTTATAGCATACGTCGACTTTTTCAGCATACGTGGTTTATTCATTGTAGCGCAAAATATCGTGTTCACACAAAATCCAGACTCTCCCTCATGGTCGTTAACCGCAAGGGTTTTCTGGCATTTAATAAACTGTGTCTTGTCATCAAAACGTTTAAGAGCACCAAGGAGTTGCGTATACTGTCCATCACTTCTTGCAGTTTACAAAATGGTTATTTATTCATTGTTACAGTTTTATCTGCTGAAAATGGCATTATTTCTTTCCAGTTCTGTTTACTGATGGATTGATTGAGATAGGACATCTTAGAAGTGTTTTGTAAAGAGAACTTGATGATATAGTCGCAGTGCAATGAAACTAGTTTCGAGGTCAACGGTTGGCTGTTAACACAACCAAAGGTTATTTTCACTCAGATGCAAATAGAATGTAGCCTAGTTTCATCAGTACCTACAGCATTCTAAATAACTTTCAGTATGGAGTTATGTAGAATATTGAATCTCATTGAACAAATGAGCCCATCCTAGTTAAACCGCCATCCGTGTTGGGTGTAAAGCAGTTACTGACTGAGGACAATGAATGCTGATCGCGTAATGCCGTGGACTGAGCGAGGATATATAATAACACCGTCGAACACTTACTCAGTTATCTATAGGTTAAGCGTTCACGCACGAGGCCAAGTTTCCTGGGTTCAAGCCCTGCGTGTAAGATCATGAATGCGCATTGCTGAGAAGTTTCACACTAATATGAATCGGCCATTCAGCATTTTCAGGTTTTCAATGGTGGCCTCACTCAGATCGATTGGTGATTTAAATGAAACTAAATAACTCAGATTATCCAAACAATGAAGCTTTACATTGAGGTTAACATCGTGATCTCTGAAGTTTCTGTCATAACTTACCATCAAATATCGAATACTCATATGCAATCCCAGCATTTCCCAAGGAGAGTCTCTGCTACCTGAAGTGGTTTTTCAACCAAAATTACAATATTGTTTTCAAATCTCCGTAAAAGAGTACCGATAACATATGCATCCATGAAGCGTCCTGCATGAGTTGTGATAATGTATGCGCATACAGGACTAGATGCTGGTGCAGTTTTACCGCTTATTATCAGCTATGCGTCATGACTTTTTTTATCTCTTCTAAGACAACAGTTCATGAAGGAGCATGATCAAGTAATCGATGGCTTGTGAAAATAATGGTAAGCGATTGCTAAAAAAAGCAAAGTATAGTCAAAATGTTGAAGAAATTCCAAGGTGTTGAAACTTAATTCTTCGAAAATTGAGTAGTTTTTTCTGATGCTTTCAGGATATTGTTTATTGAACAAACTACTACCTCTGCTTGTTTAAGTCAATGCTTCTGACGTTGACTGTTAGTTTCGTTCTTATACTTCCTGGTTCTGTGATCCATAGGTCAATCTGTCGTTGTGGCTTTGATTAAGGGAATAATGAATCGGGTAAGCGGGATATTTATATGTTGAGAACACTTCGAGCTTCTGAAAGCGATTTTGTAAAATAACACTCAGTCGTTTCCGGGAAGTAGCTCAGCTCATTTCGTATGTCAGTCTGTTAACTAAACGATATATTTTCAAAATCGATTGGGTTCTAAAATGTACATAGAATAATTCCATACCTAGGGATCGTTTTAATCTCCTGTGAATACGATGCCATAACTGAAGCTCATGCAAACATCAGTCATTCCACACCATACAATAGAAGCACTGACGTCAAAGCTGTGGCTGACATGGTTTGACAGTAACAGTTCACATACCGCTCCTGGACTTCGTAAGTATTATACCTGACTAAGTTGTAGGCTGGTGTCGAGTCTTTCGTAAATGGCCCCAGCTTACAATTTTTGAGAAGTCCTCAGAAGTACTACGCGGGATTAATCATAAAGTATGATCGTCCTTTCCTGTCCACTTACCTCCTGCAACGTATTGTATCTTGACATAAATCCTACTAGTAATATCCAGCGGTTCACAACTAAGTGTTAAATATAAACAGCAGTCACCAATCAGATGTTAACAGTTCGATATCCTCTTGATTGTTCATTCTTAACTTTATCCACGACCATTCTTAAAGGTTATATATTTTCATGGTTACACTGATGTAAATAAGCTAGATGATCTAACTAAACTGGATGGAACTGACGTACTTTACGTCATTATTGTAAACGCGTTTGTGTTCGACTTTATGTTTGATTTCAGACCCTAAATATATATCCATCTACGTTCACTACTGCTTGCGGGCAGAACCGCCTCAAAACTCGCTTGTTAGGATTGGTAGCATTATTGATAATCCCTTGACCTAGTTCGACTCCAACACCACCTGTTAGGTAAACACTTTGTTACTTTCGTATTGCTACATTAGCACTAGGATTTAGCTATCGTTTGAGTGTATTCTAAGGTGAACGACCTTTAAGCGACGCCTTAGTGTCCACCTAATAACAACGACCAAACGAGGGTTATAAACTAGTGTGGGGAATCAGAATTATGATTCACAGTTTGCGGTTAAGGTTATAAATTAGATTTACGGTTTTCATCGCGAACTGACATAAGGTTGAATGCCAGAACTCTGTTTAGCCAAATGAATTAGTGAGTTCCGTGCAAAAATCCGAGATCTGTTATGTTATAACCGATTGGTTCGTCCATAAATTATAGTCTCTTCGTCTTCTAACTAAGTTTTCACATGAACATCCTTCATAGAATGATTAGTTACATCGGTTTCCACTTATTGAGTTTAAGTACTGGGATATATGGACGTGTTCGCACTAGACAGGACAGTTCATGATTACTCACTGTATTCATGGTTAACAACCGGCTCCATTTGCAATGAGTCTTTCTTAGGACCGAGGAACACCACCTGATAATCATATTCTCATCTTTGTGTAGATTCCATTATTCTCTTGACCAATAAACTAGTGTTGATGTATAATATTACTGTAAAAGTCGAGTATGACCTAAAAGTACCTAAGTTTCCGTGGTTGGGATCCCTGCAGTCCTTATAAATTGGCTGAAATTTCTGTTCAAATGGATGTCAGCATGTATACATTATCTGCAGTTTTTTGTGAAGTTTAAAATATCGGAATTGCCTACGGGTTCTGGGTGTATGTATCAGGGCGTCTGAAAAGTATTACTACAGAAATTACAAGCATTCACTAATCTAAGTGATACGTAATTCATTTTTATGTTATAAACAGTTCTGTCGAGCAGTTTACACAGGGAAATAACTTATGAAGTGTATTTGATGGCATTTATGAGTGAGAGCTAATACCTCTTTCAAATCGACTGAAATAAACAACCAGTACCTCAATTGCAGTTTACATGATGGGGGTATTGTCTACGGAATTGAGAGGTCGAGATGCGAATGTTCGGCGCTTTAACCAGGTTGGTGGATGTGGAGGATCCACCTAGGGGAGTTGGGACACCCATTCCAAACTCATGGTGCACATAGGCTCCAATATCCTGAGGGAACAAATGGCGTATGAACCAATTATTGGTCACCAGCCACCATGGGACTGCATCTCCTTACGATGCTCCACTGCCTTGTTGATTAGACCTTTAGGTCGAAGGCTCCTAGTGTGGCCCCCTAAAAAGACCCATTTGCTTCAGTCTGGATACGGGCAGTACCACAGCCCACATACAAATCAAATGGAATTTTTGTGGCGCACGTGTTTTGGATATACCTTTGTACCAATATTTATGTTGACGCAGACTAGATTATTTCCATTAGGCCCGAATGGTAGAAATTTCGGGATTTTCAGTCTAAATGATGATCACAGTCGTAGTGTTTTCGTGAATTAGGTATGTTCGATGTCATTTGTGCATCATTATGGTTCATTTAAAATGACAATCCAAAATAGTTCGTGTGGAATATTCGTGTTCGTTAGTGTCATTGATGCATCCTTTAAAATACTTACAGACTAATAAACAGTAATTTGATGATTTGAAATATTATTAGCAGGTGTGAATATGATTAACATTTAATTGTAACTTACGATATATGAACGTAAACGGGATCAAGTGTACAGTGGATGTCATTTTACACTAAATATTACTAGGCCTTAGACGTGTTTGGAATGAAAGCTTTGTAAGCTGTCATTTAAGTCGATCATGGTGTATCTGTCCCTCTTATGTCATTCTATAAATTGTTTTGCTTTTGGTTGTGACCATATTCTCACTCGAATTCGCTTTCCAATCTTGTGTTTATGATGTGTGCACACCAGTTTACTAGTTTGGCTAAATGTCACCTGCGTGTGTTACTCGCTACACGCTTTGCAGTGCCGTATGCGGAAAAAATAAAGGAAATTCGACAGAAGTACAACTAGTTCCCTGTCCATATGTGTGCAGTACGTTCACAAGGGATTGTAGATGTCACATCACTTCCTCAGTTTATTCCAGCATCTTACGTCACAGGATCGGGGGCTTTCATATGTTATAAAATACATGCTTTGAGTTTATTTGTTTTGGATTACTAAGACTACTCGTCAACCTGGATTTTTGGATTGGTATACTGTCTCATTTAGTAATACATAAAAACGAGTCGGTCAACTACGAAGTAGATTCTGGTACATATGTACATCAGTTCAAGTTCCAATACCCCATTACCAAAGATGAAATCGTCACGTCAGAGCTCAAAATAATTGCGGTAGTAACGGTATAAGTGGTGATATAAAGAATAAGCACGGAAGATAGGATTCGAGAGAGTATATATTTCTAATGTAGAGACAGAAAAAGGGAGTTATGAGGCATTGAAGAGGAAAAAGTCGTGTTGTCGACTAGTGACAACTTTCCGCCATTAGATCTTAGGTTTGAAAACCCACGCTTTTATTGGAACAGCTGCAAAACATGTGACTGGAAACAAATACTTAAACCTGTATGTAAACTAAAATGGAAAAACAACGTAGCGACTCGGTTAGATATAAAATACGTCTTTTTGTATTGAGTATTTCTCCGCGATCACGAATTTCTGTTCTTTATACATAATGCTTTACTAAGCTCGAAGTCCCCGTTGTAAAGGTCATGATAAGTGAGTAAATACTAAAAAATACGGAGTGTGTAGTTCTGTTCCATTGCAAACTGACCACTTGAAAACTACGACTGAACACTAGCAAATGCAAATGGTGTACGGTAAACATACCGAAGTTACCGAGACATTTCACATTGAAGTCACTGCATGTAAACATTTCCCCACTCATCTCATTTTTTATTCCTTAATTTTTGAGATCACGGCAGCATTAGTAGTAGTACGGACTGACTTTTCATGAAATAATTTGTATTTGCCAGTATAGAAAAAGGGAAAATTAAGTTTCACATCCACTGATGTAAATGAAGTTAATCATTATCTAATTTCCAAACCCTGATTAGACAAAGTTTTAAGTGGTGGTCAGATGAAGTATTTCTTATTAAGACTAGTGAAATATAGCTCATTATATTCTGTGACATTTAATGGAAAAATTTTGTTCAATGCATCTGACTGGTTTTCAGTCCTTTATGAGGGTATTTGTCTGTCAGGTATTTTTTTATATTTAATATGGTAATTTTCCACCAGTTTATGCAAACTTGATTATCAATTTAGCTCGCTAAAACTTTTTTTCAGCTTTTAATCCCACCCAGTGTTCACAATCGCCACCGAATATGGCTGGATTCATCCCGTCCATGACGAGTGGTTTCTCTGGGTTTCACTTCGTACATAAACTTCGAGAACTTATTACGTGAATAACCATCCCGATTTCATTTCATTTTCACTGTATATTTAAGCAAACTGTATTCCTGTTTTCGGGTATTCTTTTCTAATTTTAATTAACAAGCATTACACATAGTTTTGCCTTACATCATTTTTATGAAATGTCAGATTATTTGTTTTCTGCGAAGTTATGCTCTCGGGGTTTTCACCAACAAATGTGTGCTTCCAAGAGGATTTAACTGACATCAACCTTTCTTCTCACAAACAGTATTAACAATTCACTCAGAACTACTGACCGATTTCAAAATGATTTTTCTTTAGTTTTCATTTAAATGGTAGGATAATTCGTTTCAACTGAATAGGCGCCAACGACACCTATCTGTCATGAATGCTGGACGATAAATACTAACATTCTAATTTATGTAAAAAGTAACGATGCCAAAATAATGTTCAGGATCGTATTCTTCCACTGATTTAAATGACAGTTGAATATCGGAGCTAGGCTACGAAGATTGCTGCACATTACATTTACTACGGTGTATAGGAGTTTACGATTTGGTAAATCAATTTTACGAATCTGAAAAGAGGTCCACACAGTGCCTGGTTGACGTTGCACGTATTTACAGCGTAGCTAATTCCAAAAATGCGCTGTAAAGATTGAGCTCAACACGTTTATCTACTAAGATGCATTTGAGGTTTACCTAAGTAACTTGTGCTACATCCCCCCAAAGTCAGGCACATCTCCAAAGGTCCTATTGAATAACGTTGTCTTCGGTACTAGGAAATCAACTCATTGACATTTACTGGTTAATACATACACATGCAAGTTCGTTATCTATCTAGTTCAACAAAAAATACGAATCTGATTGTCTTAATGTTCTGTTCTTGAGACCTAGGATTCGTAGACTGGTGATTAGTCTGATTGGTTGAGATATATTTTTCAGATCTTGTGCCACTTTCTCAATCCGAATGATCGTCACAATAGTTGAGGAAGTTCTGAAAGATAATTCTCACTTATAAACTTGGGTAAAAATAAAACAAATTTCGTAGCAGAAAGTCATCTCAGAAGTGGGACACCAAACTCGTACTCCGATGAACTTTACGTCCAGTCTAGTGTACTTTCACTCCTGTAACCTAAACTGCTAAGCTATCACCGCGCTTTGATCTCACGCGATACTGGAAGCATACTACGATTACAAACTATTGGCTTGACAGAAGTCAGACAAGTCAGAATTCTTGGCTGTGTTCGATGTAACGGTCGAAACTAGTTGGAGATTCTAAGTGACGTTGCAAAATATGGTTTGGCTGTCGGTTGACGCTCGTTAGTTCTCTGATTGAGCGCCATCTTCCGATCTTACATTACCTCCACGGTCGGCTTCCAATACGTCCTCCTGCCCAAACATGATGTGAGTCCTTCGCCGCGCTGTCGTGATATGGAGCAGCTAGTTACGATGGTAAACCGTGTGCTGATAACTACTGGGTGGTGTATATGTTGTAATTGTATGTACACTGGAAGTACCTATTTAACCTCTTACCAGGGTAAGGTGTTGTACTCGTGACTCGTTGATGGCAGAACTACTAGTTAGCCATTCTGTGCTGGGCTTGGTCATAACCAACTCGGGAGTTATCGGCTGCCAGCTCGTAAGTGTGGATGTAAAGCCCACCAACGAAGCTGGGAAGTCACATTGTCATGTAAGTGATGTCAGATTGCTAGGCAGGCAACCTATCGTATTTTTATAAGTGGCTCGAATAAGAGTTGGTTTTACGTTGTATAAGAGCACAAACTTGGCCAGGGTCTTGAAATACTGGAAGATTGTATCAGCAATGTATGTGTAACACTGTCTTAGATGTGGTTCGAGCAGTGTATGCGTTGGCTGCGAGTTAGACGCTATATCAAGCGGACTACTCTGCAAATTGATCTAAATACCCATCCGCTTTACTGCGATGCGTAGCACGTCCGGACATCAGGCATCCTTTTGTTGGCGTGTGCGTTTTGCTATGGCGTCCCGAAAACTAGTCTGCTCACATTCCTGTTTTGAAGATGCACGGGACACTCGGTCATTGAGCTATGATTCTCCTAAACGTCTGCATTCCGTAAGTTAGTAGTTTATTCTTCGACATAACTTGTGGTTGACATCTAGGCATCTGTCATCGAGATAATTTTTCTTCATTTTCAGGCTGTCACAGAACCGACAAGATTACTTGAGGCTTACAGTGAACATTTGACGGACTCTGGTGGGATTATGCAGCAGTCCGTCTCTGCATTGGTGGAGTTGATGTCGTCGGCCAACCGTAAACTTGTTCCAAAATGCATTTCTTTGTGTATTATTGCTTCGTCGTCTCCAGAAACACAATTGCAGTTATGTAAAGATGGCGCATGGGAGATATTACTTAAATGGCTTCAAGAAGCCCTCAAAGAGGATAACTATGCTTTTTTGTTAGAGCTCTTAAAAGTGTACTTGCTACTTCCTGTGAGATTGGAGCAGCTTACCCAAAATGTTTGTCCCAAACTTATAAATTCTTTGACGAAACGTTGTGATCATGAAGGTAATGTGCCCCAAGGCATAATTAGGTCTCTATAATAGAGGTAAAATCTGTGGCTGCTGAGATTGTAAAAAAATGGAAAGAAGTTATAAGTTCTGATTCCCGTCAGTTGGTCTGTAAGTTAGGTTTGTATTACTTAATATATTTTCAGCAAATCATGTAAAAAGGAAAAAAGTAGAATGTGAAACAAAAACAATTAACAAAGATACTCAGTCACATGACCCGTTAAAAGATGAGAAGAAACGCCGGAGTACTGTTAAAATACCACCTAATAATATGCGGACAGCAGGTATGGAAGATACACCTGCACAACCCCAGCCTAAATCTAGATCAGATATATTCGCGAAGAAAAAGTAAGACCCGGTAGGGTTTCCTAATTTTTTATAAATAGCAAAGTCGAGCATGATAAAAGCCTGACATCTGAACTCCCGATAGAATCCTTTCATCAAAAAATAACTGTTACTCCGACGGAATCTCGCAAAGGTTTTTTGACATTTAGAAATACAACTGGTACAAATTTCTTTCAGAGATTCATGAGAGTTCGGATTTTATCAATGCACTCACCACTTCTCCATGTCCCGTTGTTCGAAAAAAGAGGAAAATATCTCCTAAAATTGAGCCAGTTGTACAAACTGATCTCCATACTGTACGTCTGTTTATTAATATATTAATAGTTGTAGAGCAAAGAAGAAAATTATACGGAGTTATCTGATCAGAGCAGTGCATATGATTCATTTTCGAACTCCCCTAAGGGAATGGGCTCCAGAAAATCTTCATTGTCTAACATCTATTCAACCTTCCCTGCTGAAAATAAACCTAAAAAACGAGTTTCCTGGGCTGATGAGGACAAGCTACAGTCTTTCTACTATTTTGAGCTAGATGAGTCTGAGAGAGGTAAATTGAGATTATATTTAGGGTGCATACTTTTGTCTGTGATCTGTTTTCCCCGATCCTAAACAATAATGCTATATACATCATGTTTTATAGTTAATGTGAATCGAGTGTCCATTGAGGATATTCGTCGCAAGGAACATTCAATGGAACGTCAGCTTTTCAAACGATCCCACGAAGACACCGATGTCTATTCTCAGAAGGTAAGTTAAACTCGATATAGCTCCAAAGTTCGACGGCTTTAAGTGTCTGAAGCTATCAATAATTATGAGCTTTTATAATTAAATTTAATATTAGTGATGTATATATTATCAAGTAATTGAAAATGTTTCTTCTTAAAGCTTTTTTATTTTAGGATTTTTATTTTATAACTTAATTTTCATTGAATATTCGTTTTATCTTGAATTTTATTTCGATCTTATTGTACATGTGGTTTTCTTTGAAATAAAATATTTTTATTAGAATGGTTAATTTTTTCTTGCAACTACGGTGGGTGGTTTATTCACAAAATATCCATAATTTTGTTCTACTTGAAAGGTTTCACGATAGCAATATGTCAGTCTCCACATTACTGTGTTAAAATTTTTTTAAGTACAAGTACTAGTTATCTGGTCATTGCACCAACTTATATTTTCCAAAATTCACCACACTCTGCAGACGGTCATATACTGATGTTTACTTCTGATGGTATTTCTTTCAATTCTTGTCATTTGAGTGTTCAGCAAATCTTTTTCGTTAATATAAAGCATTCAACTAACACTTAGTCGTATATTTTGACTGGAATCTAGGGCACAATTATGTATGACCGTCATTGTAGAAAGCTGCATTTAAATTCTGATTTTATCACAAATAAGACTCCCTAGTTCGGATGTCAGTTGTAGATTCACTTGTACCTTCCGTTATAATCGGGTCTAACTCGTAACGCCCTGTGGTTTCTTACATTCTTAGGGTCACTTCACACACTCGGGAATCCGTGGGTTTGTACTAATTATATTGTAGTAGAGAAATCAAGTGTGCATTATTAGACAATCAAGATATTAACATCACTTGCATACATAATGTAGATAATAACCATAGTTTGTACAATATGCCTTAGTAAGATTCTCACATCAATCATGGCGATCTTATGTTGTGTGGATGTTTTGCTCTTCTGAATTCTTAAGTACCAAGTTACCTTGCGAATACTTCCACGCTGAATTAAGAAATACAGTTGAGTGGATGACCAGTGTTGAAACTTCTGTAGTGATCTGACCAAACATTTTCCACCAAGATCTCGTATATTGTACTGTGAGCACGCGTCATCGTAGTTGTGAGAATATAACGCTTCTAGATGTGTCTGAAGCCGAAGTGACTTGCCTTAAAACTGCAGGTGTGTGGCGGTATTGTGTGAAACATCATTAGTTGTTTCGTTACATATTCAGGTGATATCTCATTCTGAATGCATTCATGTGACCTAACGTAAAGTAGATTATCAGTTCCAGTTATCATAGGTCCAAGTTATCTATCATAGTATGAATTGAATGCTAACTTGCACGGTCTTGTGAACTATTTGCGCGCAACAAATTTCCTAAGACATTCTATCGTTTCACCGTATTGCCTAGATGGTCACTGTAACATCCACGAGATGTCAGCGGTTTCTTTCTGCATATTGAGGTACGTTCACTTGTGATGCTTCGATAATCAACCAAGACCTGTCCTCGCGAAGCTTATTCACGCAATCCGAAGCAATAAACATCAAGTTCGTCAGCGGCAGCATATGCCCATAAAATGTTTTTGCCTGGATGAAAGTTGAGGGAATTGTCTCTACAGTCTTGGTCACACCAGCCGACATAATTAAATACTCAGGAAAATACTAAAGTGTCTTCAGAGATTATGTTAATATGTCTGAGTAACTGCTGATAAGCTGCGTCTTGATATTCCTCGATCACTAATTTAGCTGTTCATTATTAAAACTTCTATAAATCCGGTTGTGATTTTCCGGAGGACTGGCATACAAAATTCATGAGCGGACGAAACATTTTTGTTATAATACTAGTAAAAAGATTATAATCTGTAAAATTGAGAATTGGAAATGTCTAGTTAAATATTCCCACAAGTATAAATTTTTGTCAAAGGAATCCTAAAGAGTCGGTTAGTATACTTTGGTGGAATAATCTCATTAGGCTTACTTCCTTGCACAACATGTTTATTCTACGCTCCTTATTTCCCAGAAGCTGTTCGTCGGTCATGTGAAATATCGACGATAAGCACAATTGTTCGTCAACGACCAAGCATGGAGTCTCAATAAGCTGACTAGTCGCTAACATTCCACTATGTCAATGTCTCAAGGTATTGGCTATCGAGTTCCTAAACAATACGTCAGACTGGAGTCCTCACCCGCTTTTCCTGTCAAGTTTTCCAATTACTCTTGATTATGTTATAAACATGGACCAGGATATGTATGACTCAGTCATCAATGATCGGAAAATATGATTGTGAACTTTTTAACATTCCACAATTATCTATACGTTTTTCAGCGTATTATTTTACTATCGTTTTGTTCATTATGTTGGTCTATGTCAGTATTTGATTTTTTTTCTGCTTTAGTGAGATTTATACAATTTCATAAGTTTCCTTCCTATTTCAATTCCCCATAACAGTGGCACCCTCCTTGTCCATTAGAGCGACTTCTCTTGGTCGAACCAGGTTGTAAATCTATTGAACGTCAGATTCAATTAGAACGAGAACGTTGTGTTCTGCAAGCAATCTACTTTACTCGTGAAAGTATTCCATATAGTCCAGAAGAGCCTGATGCAGAAGTTGTGGAGCATATCGCTCCTCTTGATATACCATTGGATGATGTAAGTTTATTCTCCTTACACAGTTACAAGCAGTAATTACTATAAGCTGAAAACACAACACATATTCACAGTTTTGTATGAAGATTGAGTGGTTTTAGATAGTCTTACTCACTACCTTCTCGCCGTGAGGGTATTGTCCACAAATTGAGGGGGACGAAAAGTGAATATCTGGCATTTTAACCGGGTTGGTGGGTATGGAGGATCCAGCCAAAGAAGTTGGAAAACTCTGACTTAAACCAATGGTGCACATGAGCTCCAGGATTCTGAGGAGAAACGGTATACAAACCTACTGTAGGTTACTGATCGCCATGCCATTGCATCTCCTAAAGTTGCTCCACTGCCTTGTGGACTAGACTTCTAATATATATATATATATATATATATATATATAATATATATATATATATATATATATATATATATATATATATATATATATATATATATATATATATATATATATATATATAGCGTCTCCTTGTATGAATGTTTATATGTTAAAATAAATAAGTGGTTTTGACACACTGAACAAACACTTCATCTGTCCAACGTATTATAAAAGTCCTTGAAAATGTATGCATTTAACTTGTTCCTGCTGCAGGACAATTTTTCAATAACAAGTTGGTTTAAAATACATTTTCAGAATATTCCATTGAAATCATTAAGTTTTCTCTATTGAAGGTGTTTTTGTTAATTTTCTTCCCAATAAAATTCGGTTGTCACAACATTCTATCAGGATTTTAAATGTAAGCAAAGCTTTTTAACTGTTAACTAAAAGCTAAAATCTTTTGTTCTCGACGTTAAGTCGGTCGAACCTATGATTCTCAAACTAAGATCCAAATGGATGACTAGTTAACATGATGACATTTAGTAATTCTTAAGATTTTATATTCAATTCTGTATCAACTCCAATTAACGGTATTCGACTATCCCGAACTAACACACTCTTATTTTACGTATCAGTGCTTTTGAATGTACAACCACAAATACTTGGAGAATTACTGCTTACGAATTCTGTAGTATTAATTATTAGTTTTCCCGAGCATATTTTACGTGAAAGTAATGTAACTGTAGCAATTAAACAGCTATGTGTTAAGACAGTTATGATGCTTTGTATGGATCCCATGATTCTAAGGGATTAAATGAAATTCAACAGTGTAAGATTCCCTTCAGGAGTATAAGGGAACTATTGGACAGCTTTTTGCACGTAAAATAAGATCTCTATATGGGTTTTTTCAGTGTTGGGATCCATCATTTGGTTAACCTTTTTTAAAAGATAAAATGTTATGTATGGTGATTTATAAGCATAATTGATTTTTGTAACAAAAGGATGTGTTTCTTTGTCCACTAGTCACTTTATCTTGTGACATTCACTCGTGTTTTTGTAAAGTTGTGTGTGATCCAAAAAATTAAATTGGAACCTAACTCGTCAACATATGTCTTTGCAACAAACGTCTAGAATAACAAAATATATTACTGTGCTCTGTGAAACAAATATTAACAGTGACGAACTAAATTTCATCTATCTTACTTCAAAATATCTTCATTTTGTGGATTAGGTTAAGTTAATTGAAGTTTTTAATTAGCAAAATCTTCAAATATCACAATCGTTCAATCAATCCAACTTTCACTCGCTCAGATGAACAATGTATTTGTCAAGTGTAAAGCTGTCTGAGAAATACATTGGTCAATAAGAAACATCAACATAACTAATCTGGTTTGCCATCTGTTTGTCCACTTTCTGATGGTTCATGTTATTAAAATCTGCATCGTAAACAATGTTGATAATATTGCACTTCAGAAACAAAATTGTGTTACCAGTGCTTTCGTTTCAATCTGGATAGTGATGGTTATTGAACTCGGTCATTGCTTTTTGAAAGGTGCGATTTATAAATCTAACGACCTTTCCCATTATCAAGTTCATAAGTGCAGTCAAAATGTCGAAGTATAGATCTACTAATCTTTTAAATGGACATATATAATATGAATTAAGTGGACAATTTTCAACTAACCATAGACAGTTCTTTCGATCTGCGTTACCATTCCTCACATCTATTTATGACGTATGCCATGCAATGCTTTGTTGCACTTAGCTAATCAAATAGTGTGTTACCACAGTTTGTTACTTTAAAATACAAAGAAACGATGTTCTTATCTTTAACACCTTGTTTGCGGAAACCATATTACAGATATCACTAAGCTGTGATCGTGTTTTCGTAAACCACAATCGTAGAGGATAAACGACTATTTTCACTGACAAGAATCTAAAGATTTTTGTACCAAATAATTTGAAAAAACGCCTGAATTTCCTTAATATCTGGCTGAAACACATTTTCGTACCAACTTTGAACGTCTATTATGCATGTTGTGCATAAGATGTATATTGAGATTGAAGGTCGCTCTGATGCAGCATTAAGTATTTGCTGTCATTCTAAACTGAATTTTGGTCGCTTTTTGATGGCATCGTATAAGGATTGCCTCGACTCAAACATTTTGTCATTTCTTGAAGAAGAGATAGATTGTGGTAAACGGGCTTGTATTTGAAGCACGAAGTACCGCAGTTCATCATATTTGTGTGTGAGCTGTGATACTACCCGGGTGCCCAGACAAAAGTAGGTGGTTTTCTTAGGGGGCCACACCCTGAGCCTTTGACCTAAAGGTCTTACCCACGAGGCAGTGGAGCATCGTGAGGAGATGCAGTCCCATGGTAGCCGGTGATTAACGATTAGCTCATACGCCATTTTTTCCGTTAAGGATACTGGAGCCCATGTGCACCATTGGTTTGGGATCCGGTTAAAGCGCCGGACATTCGCTTTTTGTGCTCTAATTTCCGTAAACAACACCCCTGCCACGAGAAGGCAATGAGTGGGACTTCCCTGGCAGAGGCTGTATACGCGTGACCGTGTGAGAGCATTTCGAGAGGGAGAGCGTACTATCCCCACTCCAATATAGACAACACTGAAATGGAGATACATCCAGCTAACCAATCCTAAATAGGACGAAACGCGTGTCCTGGATTCCACTGTTAGCCACATCCGTATATTTGATTGAGTGTTTGTTCAATAACAGTTCACATTAAATGAATGTTAGTTTTGCCTTTTCATAGTTTTGTTGGTATCACACAGATTAATTTCACTTTGTTTTATCCTCACTTGCGTTTGGAAATCGACATTTTGTTTTCTTTTGTTTTATATATCGGTTTTTACCCATAAAATATCATTACTTCTCTTCCAGGCAAATTTGAAGCTAAACGTGTTTGCTTGCAGATTGGTTTTTCTTTTATTAAACTTATCATGTACCTAGTATATAAACTAAATCAAATTATCTGTATTTTCTTCAGCTTACTGCCTACGAATCAATTGATAAAAGTTCTGAAGTTAATTCTGAGAGGCTATTAGTTATGAAGGATGCCATGGGAAATCCACAGGCGAGTTTAATTTCAGTAATTTTCTCCGTCGAAATTATATATATATATATATATATATATATATATATATATATAACTTATGCCTGTCACCCCTCGTGGAGTGTAGGCCGCCGACCTATTCTGGCTCGTGTTTTTTAGGGAGGTTCTTACTACGGGATGGGATTGCTAACCCCACACACAACCTTCCTTCATCTTGACTTGGGACCGTCATTAACTTGACTTTCCCCATTATTCATTCAAATTTATGCTTATTACTGTACATTTTGAGACCGTTGAAGCGGCTCTTGTAAGACAAATCTATTTTAGTGTTCGTATCCTGTTTTGAATTCTAAAATTAAATTATCATTTCTCACCACAAATGTCATATTTTTCATCCGTGATCATACGTACATACACACACACATTTACATACATGTCTCATATAAATCACTGTGACCGGAATGACATGATATAAACTTCTCCAGACCTGTTTTTGATTGACTACACCTAATATTCTTGCCTTGTTACTTTGTATCATTTAAACTTGGGTTGATTTTTATTTGATTATTTATTCTCTGAAGAAGTGGCTTACACTGAGTCACGAAACATCGAAAAATTTAACTTTTTTACACATTGGGATCTTACAAATATATTATTTTTATCTATAGCAATCTACTCAATGCTCAGTTTATTTGAAATTATCATTTCGAACCTTCGTGATGATACCTATGGAATAGGATGAATAGTCCTTATTAAAGCTCTGTGTTCATAATTATTGTTTATTTACATTTTCTTAAGTTTATTCACGAATAGTTATCGTTTCAAGTTTGTTTATGTGACTAAATTCAAAAACAACTTATGTAGACGTTTACCTGAATTGCTGCAATCCAGTCTTTGCTAGAGCATACAAAAAGGCATAAAGTGGTTTTGCCGAGATAATACAAAAAAAGCTATATGATATCAGCATATGTATCTTCTATTATTATTATTATTATTATTATTATTATTATTATTATTATTATTATTATTATTATTTGCTTTATGCTAATTTTCAACTTTAAGTGTTGGATTTTTGGAAAATTCTAACCTAATAATTAAGCTATATTGGTCCCAAATAAACGTATAAATCTAAATATGACTTCTTCATACAACTGTCTCACTAAAAGATCATGTTTTCTAAAAACTCTAAAGTAATCGCTTCATTTGTTTGTTTCAACATTTCTTTATTTTTTTTAATTGTCTTTTAGATGTCATTAAATCCCGAGGTTGCTAACCTTGTCAAGTCTCTGGCAGCCAATCTCACTAGTTCTCCATCTGATCTTGTTCAAACGATGCCACCTCAAATGAACCCCGTCTTAACTACAACATCCTGTTCTGACTTCAATTTACAACCAAATGCTTTTGTTCCTGTTTCTAACGACACAAAAATGAACGTAAATAGTCCTAATTCTGAATCGGTACGTGGAACTAACGCTCATTCTCCGATTGATCAAATGCTACAAAGAGAATTGTGGGAAGTTTTGGAGCAGAATTATCCAGACATTAATGTTCATGACTTAAGTGCGGAGCGCATTCGAGATCTACTCGAACCGTTACGTGATCAACTCGTTGCTCGAGGTATTTTTCAGCTTCGTAACCCATGCCCACCAAAACCACCTCTTCAGTATCCTGACTGCCCAGTCGATCCTCCTGTCCCACGCCATGGCTTCCGTCCTCCTTTCCGTGGTCCTTCGCATATGCCTGTCCCCGTCCCTAGATCTGATTTATACCACCTCCCCATGGACCAAGGTTATGTCCCCCTAATCCTTCTGGTTATGGGCCTCCGAATCGAATGCCTAACAGGCCATCCTTTCAGTCAATGAATCCCACCTTACCTCATCTCATTCCTAATCCGATGCCTCCTTATAATGGTCCGCCAGCATCTCGAATGCCTGCTTATCCTCGTGGAAACTCTCATGCTAGGAATAATGGTCAGCCTTGTAAGTTCTTTCAACAAGGAGGATGTCGTAATGGTCACTCCTGCAACTTCATGCACTCTCGGTGAAAAATACAACTGTTTCCACTGCTGTTTCTTGTCCCTGGCTCTGTAAAAAAATCACTTGAATTTCGATTTATGCATTTTAATTAGAAAATATCAATCGCTATCACTACATCACTTAACTTTACTGGTTGTAAATAAAACGCTAAAGGTTTTGTATAGTTTTTTTACAATAGAATATTTATTTTATGAATTTCACTATGGGTTTTCAATAAATTACCAGATTTCATGAACGATTTGTTAATTATTCTCATTAATTGGATTGATGCTTACCGTTTTTATCTCCATATCTCAAAGGTATTTTGAAACCCGATGCCTATTGGCAAGCTTTACACGGCACTCACTCTAGATATATTACGAATATATCATGTACATTTTTTGTTCTAATTTGATACATTTCCATGATTTATATGATCCTAGCAATTTCTTATCTGAGATATCATTGCTCATATATTTTCAAAATGAGAAGCTTATTCCAAACTAGGTTAATCTTCACAGCGAACAAGGTTATTCTTTCTACGTATACACTTGTATCGATCAGTTTGTGTGTTGGTAAACGCCTTAAATAAATATCTGCCTGTAATTGGGACACTAATCTGTGCTATTTTACTAGGAAATATATTTGTGAGTAGTAAAATGACCACAATTATGCTTTTTAGGGTTCATTAACTTTTACATTGACCGATATATTCAAATCATTCGATCTCCAGTGTGTCGTTACTTTCATTTCTTTTCTACTTTGTTGCACTTATTCCCAAGATTCCATAGCTATGATTTCATATCAAACTTCTTAACTACGGAAGTAATCACAAAACCTAAGATTGTGAACCTGAAGAAAAGAGGTTTTTATGTTATTCCATATCTACCTCATGTACCTTGCTGGTATTCATTTTCCCACTTTTTAATCTACTATTTTTATATTGAAGTGAATTACGGCAACCCGAAAACGGTGTGTGTTTACGTTTGTTTGAGTCTGTTTCTGAAATCTTTCGAACGATGAAGCTCAATTATCCCCATTCTATTTGGATTATACATATGGAAGTCAAACACATCAAATGTCTACTTGGTTCATTCTTACATGAATATCCTTTTACATAATCACACAAACGATATTAATGATAGTATGGGTACCCAATTCTGTGTAGTTTTCACAAACACCACTTATAACAAATGAAGTCAATACAAGTGAATTATTTGCATTACTAAGCCCTTAACTCATGTAACGTTTCACACTCAAAAATTTAATACAAGTCACTGTTGCCATAAGAGGCTGTGAAGATAGTTGGATTGTATGGTTTTTATCACAGACTGGCCTTAATAAAATAACCACCGGAAACCAGGAAGCACTGGATAAGTGTCCCGCCATAGTATAAGACTCATTAAGCGTGCATATATACTCTTCAACTGGGGATCGGTCTCAGAACTTTCGGCTTCCGAGGCGAGCATGGAACTGATTTCCAAACGTTTACATAACTAACTTCAGTCACTATGCTTGAAGTATTTAAATTTTCAAAAACATTAGATGTCACTACATGCTGAAACATAACGTTTGCTGTAGTTACCTGCAGTCTACCTAAAAATAATCATCTTATCTAGTAGGCTTTAGGAACAAAATAAATACACTAGGGTTTGATGTGCCGTATTATTTATTCCCAATCTCGTTTGTCAGAATATGCATATCACAACAGTAAGTTTTCCTGTTGTCATTGTCTAGTCTTCCTGACCTCGAAACACTCATTCATGCAAAAACCCAAAATATTTATTTAAACGAATAAACGGTACAAGGAGACGCTAAATAAATCATTCTATTTGTGTGAGGGCTGGGATACTGCCCGGGTACGCAAACCAAAGCAGGTGGTTTTTTTAAGGGACCAATCCTCGAGAATTTGACTTAGAAGTCTAGTCCACAAGGCAGTGGAGCAACTTTAGGAGATGCAATGGCATGGCGACCAGTGACCAACAATAGGTCCATACGCCATTTTCCCCTCAGAATCCTGGAGCTCATGTGCACCATTGGTTTGAAGTCAGAGTTTTCCAACTCCCTTGGCTGGATCTTCCATACCCACCAACCCTTTTAAGGCGTCAGACATTCGTTCTTTGTCCTCTCAATTTCGTAAACAACAACCCCATCACGAGAAGGTAGTGAGTAGGACTTCCATAGCAGTGGTTGTGTGCACGTGGCCATGTGAGAGCATTTCGAGAAGGAGAGCTGACTCTCGGCAGTACCAGGGTATTTGGGGGTTACGATTTCTCAGCGGCTTGAACTGCTATTTCCTTGGATATTTTTAAGTAGTCTGAAGTAGGATCAAATCATAAGGCTTCATCTATGCATTCCATTAAATCGTCACTTCTATTGGCCAACGCTTTGATGTACCGGTTGAGACATACTGTACTTTATATTAAGCGGTCATTGTTGACGACAAGGATATAAATACGTATGTTCTGATTAAACACTACGTGCGCTTTTAGTTGCCAAAATTTACAACTGGATAAAGGTAAAATTAATGGGCTGTATGATCCAAGATGATCTGAAGTAATATATCAGTGCACAAAAGCTACATTCACATGAAATTGATGCATATAATAATTCTGACCATCGTGATTGTGAAAAATTGACTTCATTCGACCTTTCGTTAGGCCCGGTAGACTGTTTCTAGACTTGGTTCCAGTTCTATCGAAAAAGTATCCATACCGAGTTACAAATTTTAAAATATAATTATGCTCGATAATTTGATTCTTAAAACGTCAAATGGTAAACTAATGTTCTAACTGTTCATCTTGTTAGCATACGAATTACAGATTAGCGATTATTGGAATACACTGCTTGTAAAATATCAATGGTAAATCGTTCGTTGACTTTTTGTGATCTCAATTACTCACTAGTATGCAAAACGGACATTTTCTTCAATACTTTTGATACATATGGTTCAAACTAAACTAACCCATTCACAAGCTACTTGGGTCTGAGCTGAGGGCTAATACTACTACTTGGTTACCCAAATCTAAATAAAATGGGCGGGTTTCGAGCCAAGACCTTATTGAGTGAAGGTCGGACGCTTAGTCATCAGGTCACTGCTCCAGGATCCGTTTTATTCAGATATTGAATAATGAAAGTTTGACGTTTTATTCTGTAATTTGACTCAGTCTGAGATTTTGTTGGCATCTTTCTTAACTGTAGTTTGAGTGGAATTCCTAAAAGGTATCTTTGGATAGGTTTCATGATCTAATAAGGAAACCTGTTTAATCACTACTGAGAGGTCCTATTCAGTTAATCATTGTGAATCATACTAACATAACGTACGTGGACCATAATTATGTAACATACATGTCTGAGTTTTTAAAGTTTAATATTTAGTGTCTGAAATGTCAACCTGCTCTTATCCACCTCCTACAAATCGATAAATAAATATAAAGTATAGTGCAAACATCTCACGATTCTACTAAATCAACAATGGTCAATATTCAGATTTGGGAAGAAGTCATTCAATCTGTCCGTTTAAATTGATCGGAAGTGAACTTGAAGGAAGAATAATTCAACAAAGCACATCAGTTAGAAGTATAAACGTATCTATCCTATATTGTATTCCCCGAAATAGTACTGCTACTGTATGGTTACAGTGTTACCTTACACTCTTGGGATGTGAATTTATATCGCATGTAACAGTTATGAATGAAGTCTTAAATCTACGCATGACAACTATCTCGTTCTGTAAGGCAGTTTTGTAAATGATAGCAGTACACTATAGTGTATAAACTTTGATGTTTGTTGTATTTTGTGCAGCAGTTCCGACTAATTTATTTTTCTGCTAAGGCGAATCTGGAACCAGGAAAAAATCTACTCAACAGTCCTTGGTTTTCAATGGTTCTGAAGGTAATATTACTTCATGATGAGAACTGACCGATTGATGTCTTAAACTTCACGATGCCAAATTTCAAACCAGAAATTCTGTACAGAACCGTGTCATTAGTGGAGAAAAATGACAATAAACTGAAAGCTTTAGAAGTTTCATATTTGAATGCTAGTCAGTAATCCAATACCCGGTTGTAGAAATGTTTTTAGACAAAACTGGTTGAGAGCTTCACTGAAGAACATTGAAAGAAAAGACGTTTGGAAGTTCCCTAGCCTGAACAGAAGTATATTGCCACCAAACCATGTGTCAGTTCCCCAATAAAATACAAATGCATGACGTTCACTCAAATAAATAGGTATAGTGTTAAAATAAAGTCTAGATTTGGTGAACGTCTTTTCCATAAAAATCAAGAAAATTGTTTACAATAGATATTTTGACCAACTTGGCTAGTCGTTGATAACTGGGATCGTCGAAAAATTGGTTTATCTGTTATGACAGCTACCTTGAACAACACATGAATCACACAGTTCTCAATAGACCTATACTACTGAAAAGCATCTTTGTCTACAATGTTATGGAATTATTTCCTAGATAACTTCGGTCTGTTAGAATCAATTTTTTTTAAGAAACGGATATCAGTATACATTATGGAAAGACTATGTCAAGGCCAGGTTATAGAGTCCGTTAAATATATGTGACGCATAAAGACACATTTGTAGGTGAAAAAGATGAATATGAACTAATGGATCATTCACTCAACACCTGTCTTGATATCATTTTTATTCCTTGTAGATACAAACGAGTTTCTAGTATCGTAGTTCAACGACAAAGCTTCCTATGCAGTTTGTTTTCGTATTTCATTTAGCTAGGTAACTAAATGTTATGCGTATTCAATAGTAGCTTAATCAAAGCTCTGTATCAGAACAAGCATTCTATTCTGTACTTATCAGAAAAGTATTTTGAAACTTTGCTATAATTTTGCCACTGAACTGGGAATTCGATCACTTAGTTTTATTCTAATCATTCTTGTACTTGTTAAACGGTAAGTGATCACTGCGAAGTGGACAATTATCTTTCATAATTCTGACGCGTAAATTATTTTCATCCTTATATTCTTCTTTACCCCCCCTGATTATTACGCAACCTCATTTAATATTCGACGTTTCGAATCCCTTTATGATGCAATCTTTTTTTCTATCCATCTGTAGACATATTTATCATAACTATAAATACGAATGTACAGCTTAAGTAAATGATCTCATTGAAGAGAAACTTTTCTTCGCTGAATTCCTTTTATTTTTATTCAATGACAGGTATTTTAATGATCATTGCTCCTCAGCCATGCGTCATTTATGTATGCTTACCAATTCAGTTAACCCCGTGG